CCCCGAGCCCGGGGCCCCACGAGGTAGGTGCGGACCCGAGAGAGGAGAGGAGAGGGAAGGGTTAGTGGGTAGGAGCCGGGCCTCCCCGCTCCGGGCGGGGTGGACACACCCCCATCCAAGCTCAGAAGGGGTCCACTGGGCGGGGACCAGGACACGCCCCACGTGGGAACCGCAGGTATGAAGGGAAAGTCTGGCAGGGATCCCCGAGAACTTGTTCAGTTTTTCGCAGGGAAAATGGAGATGATAGTAAAAGCTTCTCCTTCGTAGGGCTGTCAGGAGGTCAAGCTCTCAGCCAGGGCTGGTCACGTGGTGGGTGCCCACTACGGACGGGTCAGCTTCGCGCTGATCTTCCGGGCTGGCCTGGAGGGGCTCAGCATCGATGAGTGGAGTGTTGGTGCTTGGCTGAATCCCTTGGCATCACGGCTCCTATGAAGGGTCCCTGTGCACAGAGCTCAAACTCAACAGTAACAGCAGCTAATATCCGCCGCGATGTTATAGTTCTCGTTCTGCAGATGACAACACCAGGCCCCGAAGGTTAGGTGACTTACCTAAGGCCACACAACTGGTGAGAGGTTGTCTGGGGCCAGGTCTGGCTGCAGAACTGCCTGCTTTGACCTACTGCTAATGATAACCATCACTCCGTGTTGGATGCTCACTGCACGTCAGGGACTGTGCGGCCCCGCATAGCACCTAGTGAGCTGGGTACCAGCATTAGCCGTATTCTACAACCGAGGAAACTGAGGCAGAGCGAGCTAAGGGGAGGGCTCAAAGTAGTGGAGGTGGCACTCACACCCATGTCTTTCCCCTCTGCGATGCTGCCACATGCTCAATGCTTCTTGTGCCTTCTGCCACCAGGTCCTGGCCCCCTCCCCAGAGGCCGGATGCAAAGCCATCACCTCGCGTTCTGGCCGCCGGGGCCTGCTCTGGCGTCTACGAGACAAGCAGCTGCGCCTCGGCCTGTTTGAGATCAGCCCGGGACATGAGCTGCACCGGCTGACGTGTATGATGCAGGCAGGGCTCTGGGCTGCCACACAGGTCTCCATGGACCACCCGCCCAGGGTGAGTGGCCAATCTGCTCTGTGCACTGATGGCAAGACCGGACCGTGGCCCTGTTTTGCTACTGAAGAGTTGGGGGTCGGAAAGGCTATAAGGGGAGGAAATCAGGGGTTTGGTGCAGGGAGGGAGGGACAGTCTAGGCTTGGGGCTGAGGCCAGGAAGCCAGAAAGTGCAGGGTGTGTTGGGGATGTGAGGAACACCCTGACCCGGGTAGTAGCTGTGTAACTCTAGGTGGGTCTCTGCCTCTCTTTGGGCATCAGGTCCCCATCTGTGTAATGTATAATGACTTTGGGGGAGGGGGTTGTATGCCTTAGTCTCTGAGGCCCCCACCTCTGCCAGGGTGTATGGTTGAGAAGGGACCTCACTCCACCCCACCAGCATGGCCCGTCCTCCCCAGAGCTCAGGCGGGGGCCAGGCTGGCTCAGCAGAAAGCGTTGCCCAACTGCAAGCTCAGCAACTGGAAGGGCCCAGTGAGCACGTGTGTTGTTTGTGTGTGTGCGCACAGTGTGACCACATCCCATAGGCACAAGGACCTAGAGGTCCAGGGAGAGTATAGGAGCCAGAGGGCATCTTCTAAATCTCATTCTCTGCTGAAAATCACAATCTGGCCTCAGTACCTGCTGAAAATCTCCCATGGCTCCTCAGTACTCATCATGGCCTCGGGATCGACTGTCCAGCCTCATTCACCCTCCATCCCTCCCTTACTCAGTTAAGCCGCTCGGGCCCTCCTTCCCTTCCTGGTGACCACCAGCGCAATTCCCACTGCTAGGAGCAGCCTCCTCCTCCTCTCCACTGCCCGTCAGATTTCAGCTTGCAGGTCACCTCCCGCAGGGAGCCCTCTCTGATCCTGCCCCTCCCAGGCTGAGTCAGGCAGGCCCCTGGCCTTCCAGGCCATCACCTTTTATTCGGATGACATCCGGCTGTACTCAGCCAGGGGGTGTGTCTGGACGAATGTGCCAGGTGTTGGGGACCCAGCAGTGGAGGAGTCATACCCGGGACCTGCCTCCGGTCACTCTCTCATCCTCCTGCAGCCTGAGAGGGTCTGCAGCCCCCGCCTGCCCAACTCAGGAATCAAATTGGGGGGAGGGGGGAGGCCATGTGCGGCGCTTGGGAGATCCTGGGGCTGGCGGGGGGAGGGGAGGGGCTGGGGACGGGGCGCTGGGACTTGCTCTGAGCCTTCTGCCCCTCCCTGCAGGGGCTGCCCACTGAGGACGACTTCTCCGAGGTCCTGACCCAGGTCCACAAGGTAGGAAGCCTCAGGCTGTGCAGGGAGGGGCGGATGCCATCTTAGTTCCCTCTCCTCAGTTCCCCCAGTACGGAGTCTCACGGCCTTCCAGAGGGTGTGGCTCCCTTGACCCTTGACCGTCCTGCACCAGGCCCAACTGCACACACCGGGACCCCGACGGACACTCTGGGGCTGCTCTTCCTCTCCTGCAGGGCTTCGAGCTGGGCACCCTGGCTGGCCCTGCCTTCGCCTGGCTGCGCCACTCCCTAGGCCTGGCCGAGGAGGACTATCAGGCCGCCCTGGGCCCCGGGGGCCCCTACCTGCAGTTCCTCAGCACCTCCAAGAGCAACGCCAGCTTCTTCCTGTCGTGAGCGGGCAGCAGGGGTGGGGCAGGGTGCGAGTGGGGTCCCCGGTGGAGGGTGGCATTTGGGGAGAGAAACAGAACAGCCAGGTCAGAGGAGAGACTGAGGGCGAGGGCCTGGCCCTGGGGAGACAGAGCCACACACGGACAGGAGGGTCAGGGAGCCTGTGGGACCCTCCAGCCCGGCCTAGAGTGACCTCTCCCTGCCCCCGCACCAGCCACGACCAGCGCTTCTTCCTGAAGACCCAGCGGCGCAGGGAGGTGCGGGCGCTGCTCGCCCACCTGCCCCGCTACCTGCAGCACCTGCAGCGGCACCCGCACTCGCTCCTGGCGCGGTTGCTGGGTAGGACGGGCCAGGGACCCGGCACTGGGGGGGCGAAAGCGGGGAGAGGAGGGGAGGGGTTCAGGGAGTGGGGATGTTCCCGGGGTGTGGGTACCCGAGCCTAGCCAGGTGGTTGGGACTGGACCAGAGGCGGATCCGACTGCCCGCAGAGTTCGGTGCAAGGCGGTAGGAACAGGGGGTGGGCAGGAGGGGCGGCGGGCGGGGCCCAAAGGGTGGGATTGGGGTTGGGATTGGACAGTCCTGGGCAGGGCGTGTGGGCGAGGCCATGCCAGACCCGGCATCTCTGGGGCTGAGTCTAGAGGTGGATGGAGTCGCCACCACCACCCAAGCTGAGGAAGGGGTCTGGGGGCGCAGCTGGAGGGATGGGCTCGGGATGCGACGGCACTGAGGAGGTGTGGCCGGGAGCTGGGACCAGGGACCCCGGACGGCAGAGTTTGGGGCCCCTTACCTGGCGCCCTGTCCCCTTCCAGGAGTGCACAGCCTGCGGGTGGCCCGGGGCAAGAAGGTGGGTGAGGCCGAGGCAGGGGCTGGGCCGGAGGGGTGGCTGTGGGGGAGATCCTGTCCTTCCTCACTCCCTACCCCGTCCCCAGAAATACTTCATCATCATGCAGAGCGTCTTCTACCCCGCCGGCCGCATCGCTGAGAGGTGAGTTGGCCTCCCGGGGCCTGGGTCCCGTCCTGCTGGGAATGTGCCACCGGAGGCACCCACACTCCCCAGGTAGATGGTGAAGCCGAGGCCCAGGGAGAGAGGATGGGGTTGTGCTGCGGATCTGGACAGTCACCAGCGGAAGCTCCTGTCTTGTTATTACCTGGGAGAGTCCCCGTGTGTCCCAAGTCTGTGGAAAGCTGAATTCTGTTGTGTCCCCCAAATCCTTGCCTCCAGGTATGACATCAAGGGCTGCGAGGTGAGCCGCTGGGTGGAGCCGGCCCCTGAGGGCAGCCCCCTGGTCTTGGTGCTGAAGGACCTCAACTTTCAGGGCAAGACCATCGACCTGGGTGAGCCCCGGAGCCATCACTGCCTGCTCTTCCTCCGTTCGGGGTGAAGGTGGAGGGTGTCCCTGGCACGGCCCTTGTCCACGTTGTTAAGAACCCAGATTCGGGTTCAAATCCCGGCTCCACAATTTACCAGCTAGTTGGCCAAGGCAGATTACAGAGGAGTGTCCTCATCTGTGACATGGGGCAGTAATGACACCTGGGGCAGATGTGTGTGGAGCCTTAGCACTGCCCGGCACAGGCCGGGCACTCAGGCGGTGCTGATGCTCCCTCAGGGCCCCAGCGGAGCTGGCTCCTCCAGCAGATGGAGCTGGACACCGCCTTCCTCCGGGACCTCAACCTGCTGGACTACAGCCTCCTGATGGCCTCCCAGCACCTGCAGGAGAACGAGAGGGGCCCGGGCAGCAGCCTCGTCTTCCGCACAGCCAGGTGGGCCCACAGGGGCACCAGCAAGAGTGAGGTGATGGGAGATGGAGAAACAGACAGGCAGCGGGTGAGGTGGGGAACAGAATAGGCAAAGACTTGAAGACTGGAAAGTGCAGTGTGTGTGTGTGTGTGTGTGTGTGTAGAGTGGAGGGTGGAGAAGCCAGGCTGGCAGGTGTGATGGGCACAGGTGGACCACAGCAGGAGAAAGAACAGGTGAGGGTCAGTTGGGCAAGGGCTTCAGTCTGGATTCGAAGACTGCCCAGTTTTCAGGTTTCAGACCAATTTAATCGTCTCAGAGAGAGCGCTTACCTCTTCACCCAGTCATTCCACTTCTAGGGCCCGGAGGTCATCACCATTGGCACCACCATCATGTTGACCTTCCTTTGTAATAGTAACTGTCACCCCTTGCATGCTGACCATGGCCTCATTACAGTGGGCTTACTGCCATTTTAGAGATGTGAAAACTGAGGCTCAGAGGAGGGAAGTGACGTAGAACGACTTCTGAGGGTTCATGTTAGTACTTGGCTATTTTTTAAATTCTTTATTGTTGGAAGTATTACATATGTCCCCTTTTCCCCCCATTGACATCTCCCAGCCCGCCCCCGCCCCCCAGCACAGGCCTTCACCATCCTATTTTCTGTGTCCATTGATTATGCTTATATGCAGTACTGGGCTGTGTAATTGGATTTCAATCCAAGACCCACTTCTGCGGTTGAACAGAATTATGTAGGGTTAAGACAGGCACTTTAAGGTAATAAGTTCATTGATCTGGTGGGTGGAAAAGAGGAGTGAGAAAGGACACCCACTCGTCAGCTTCTCATCCCCACCCCTTGCCTGCCATGGGTGAGCTTGAGCAGAATCCAGGATAAGGGCTCCCTATGCCCTTTGGCTGGGCTGGGTACACCTTGACCAGAGGGTGCAATTCCTGCCAGAACCTCCCCAAGTCTGCCCCTCCAAGCTAGATCAGCTTCTCCCTTGCCCTCTACCTCCAGCTGGTATGTAAATCCCAGCTGTATTCAACCAGTAAGTCGGAGTTTGCATATAATGGTTGTTACATTGAAACATTCTGTGCTGGCTGGTAAATAGCCATTGTCCCAGCTCCAGCCCCCCCAGTTCCCAGCCCCTCATTCAAAATACCCGCCCCCACACAGGCGTGCGGGAGGCAGCCTATCAGTGATTCTCTCTCACCATTGATGTTTCCATCTCTCCCTCTCCCTTCCTTTCTTAAATCAATAAAAATATATTTTAAAAAAATACTCCTCCCTCCCATCTCCATCTCTCCATCATCCCTATTACCTTGGCACCGCAGAGGATACCAGCTCCCGGACTGGGCGTCTAGACCGCTGAGTTCTGATTGGTCGATGCCTGGGCGGGACTTGCTTCTCATTGGCTTATTTCTCAAGTGGCTACTGATTGGTCAGTGCAACTCTAGACCCTTAACTACACTTTACTCAGTTGCTCTGACTTCACGGGCCTGGCGCTCAGAGGTGTGAAAATGAGCAAGGGAAGCACAGGGTTAGGGCAGAGCGCCACCCAAGGGCAGCCTGGCCACGCTTACAGGGTCAGTTGGCTGGAGCCCCTGAAGGAGGTGGTAGCCCCCCCCTCTGTTGGCCCCTAGGTCTGTGCAAGGGGTACAGAGCGTGCATGAGCCGGGAGCGCAGAACCTTCGGCTGCTGCCTGATGGCCCCAACGCCCTTCACATCTTGGACGGCCCCGAGCAACGCTACTTCCTGGGCCTTGTGGACCTCGCCACCGTCTACGGGCTCCGCAAGCGACTGGAGTACCTGTGGAAGGCGCTGCGCTACCCCAACCGGGCCTTCTCCACCGTCAGCCCGGCTCTCTACGCCCGTCGCCTCTGCCAGTGGGTGGAGGCGCACACCGAGTGACCGGCGCGGGGCCGCGCTCTCCCCATCTGGACAATGGGCACAGGCCCGGAATGCATGTGCCAGCTTGGTCGGGCTCCCCCAGCCTGCTGTTCCTCCATCCGGCCTCCAGAGGGCAGCATTCTCCAACTAATATGACAACCGTACTTAATGGTGATGCTGTGCCTGGCTGGTATTTTGCCAGGGACTCGCCATATTAGCTCATTTTATCAAAAAAAAAAAAAAAAAAAAAATTCTATTATTCTCTTTTCACAGACCATGAAATGAAGGCTCATGGGGTGAAGGGACTGAGCAAGATCACTCAGCAGTAAATGCTGGAACCAGGACTTGACTGTGCCTTTTGGACTCAGGAGCCTGTATTCTTACCAGCTCCCACAGCCCTGTCCTCATGCTCTCAGAAAGGGGGGAGGCTGAAGGCTCCAGCCCAGGCCCTTTGTCGTACAGATGGGGAAACCGAGGCCCAGAGATTTTAAGGGGCGTATGCACGGGTAAGTGGCAAGGCTAGCCCCAGAATTCCAGGCCTCCCTATCCCTTGCCCCTGGCTCAAGGAGGGCCCTTTAAGGATGCAGGTAGGAGAAGGTGGGGTATTGAGGGGCCTGCGGCTCTGGGAAGCACTATGTTGATCTTGAGTAAGCTCTGCCCTCTCCTGATAGTCCCTTTTCTCATCTGAGAAATGGGGGTAGGGGTGATGGGCAGACCAAGGGCCCTTGCCAAACAGACATCACCAGGAGCAGAGAAGCAAAGTGTCTGCGTAGCCCCTGACCGTTCCTTCTCCCTCCTCCAGGAGACGCCAGCCGGCCTCTGACCTCAGTCCAATCCGACCATGCCCAAGCCAGCCTTTCCTCTAGTGCTGCTCTGGGGCCTGTGTGACCAGGGCAAGGTGTTAACCTTCTCTGTGCCTCAGCGGTCTAATCTGTGAGATGGAAGGATGAAAATGGGCCTCATTCGCGCATTAAATATTTATCGAGCACCTGCTATGCGACAGGCTGGGCTTTGGGGACCTGGGAGTGGAGCACAGATTTCCCCTCCACAGAACTCACAGTCTGGGTGGGGGCGGGAGGCGGTGACAAAAGCGGCCTGGTGTAACAAAGCCTTGTGAAGGACCATGGGGCCATGGAGCTCAGGGAAGGGGCCCCCACCTCAGTAGTTGATGGGTGGGGTTGTTTCTAATCTCAAAACTGAGATCAGAAGAGTCAACTGTCAGGCGCTGGGAGGGTCCCAGGCTAAGGGCACAGCAAAGGGCTGGGGTGAGAGAGTGCCTGACATCCTATGTAATAAAAGGGTAGTATGCAAATTGACCAGGAATGATGGGGAACGACCGGTCACTATGATGTGCACTGAACACCGGGGGGCAGATGCTCAATGCAGGAGCTACCCCCTGGTGGTTGGTGTGCACCCACCCCTCAGCCAGAAGCCAGGATGTCCGACTGGGATATCCACGGGGACGGGCCTAAGCCATCAGTCAGACATCCCCTGAGTGCTCCCAGGCTGCCAGAGGGATGTCTGACTGCCAGCTTAGGCCTGATCCCCTGAGGAGCAGGCCTAAGCTGGCAGGTAGACATCCTCCAAGGCAGTGGTTCTCAACCTTCTGTCCCTTTAAATACAGTTCCTCATGTTGTGACCCAACCATAAAATTATTTTCGTTACTACTTCCTAGCTGTAATGTTGCTACTGTTATGAATCATAATGTAAATATCTGATATGCAGGATGGTCTTAAGCGACCCCTGTGAAAGACTCATTCAATTGCCAAAGGGGTCGTGACCCACAGGTTGAGAACCGCTGCTCCAAGGGGTCCTGGACTGTGAGAGGGCGCAGGCTGGGCTGAGGGAGACCCCTCCACCCCAAGTGCACGAATTTTCATGCACCAGGCCTCTAGTTTGGAATAAAGAAACATTTCCCAGTGGTTGGTGTTGAGACTAGGTGGGGACAATATGGTGGGTGGGGAGCTGTGTGGGCCAAGAGCTGGCCCCCAGGACTGGATGACTCGGGGAAGCCGCTCAGCTACACCAAACACTGCCATTCCACTGGCCTCCCGAGAAAAGGAAGAAAAATGGCTGATGGGGGAGGAGGAGGAAAGGGAAAGCTTATGTTGCAGAACTGGAGTGTGGTTCCTGGAGGTATAGATATAGATCTAGATACAGATTCAGATATATCTAGATGTAGCTATAGGGTGGCAATTGACATCCCCCCTAGATACCTGGGTGGCCTTGGGTGACAACCTGCCTGAGCTAGCACAAGCCATGGAGATTTTCTGGTTCTGAC